GGCGCCCGGGCGCCGCCCGCCGGCCGGGCTCTTTCTGCAGGTTTCGCTGGGGAGGCGTAGGGTAGGGGTCCCGCGACCTGAGAGCTCGGGTCTTTGTACCTTCTCAGTTGCAAGGGAGGAAATCTGCAAGGGAATCTTTCTGGTCAGGCGATTCAGACTCGCCCTGGCGTGGAAATGGAAAACCCACATCTTTAAGTAATCACGCCTTTCTTCGCAGGTTACTCCTTTTTTGGGGGAAACTCCTTAAGTATTTCCGTAATCGCCGCAGTCCAAGCCTTGCTTCCTCTCAGGAGCGTGGGGACAGAGTGGAGTTTTTGGAAGCCTTGTTTTACCTGTTGTAACGAGCCTAATTTAGGCACTAAAGAGCAGACCTCTTATACCAGTAATTATCTGCTTGCTTCTGATGGTGGTGGTCCCATCTCAGGGTTTTCCGTTCTTTTAGCACCGAGTGCTACACCCAGAGGGTCCTTGGTAAGTGCCGGTGCATGCGGTTGGTAACCTGTATCAAGACACGTCTGTCACAGAGCAAAGCCCGTGATCGCCGTGTCCCGTTAGTAGTTGGGCGCTTCCAGCTCATCTTGGTGCAAAACCGGCCTGTGTATTTGACGGCGACCTCCCGCCCCCGACATGCACACTGGCCTCGTCTTCCAGACTAAAAGCCCGTAAGCAGAGACTGCCCAGTTATTTCTGCTTCCAGTTCTGGGACCTGACACGTGGTGGGCACTGGATTAATATTTGTTAAATTATAACAGCTCTTTGTATTCTTTTTACTGTCATCACTGTTGTTACAGTTCTTAGTATTTTACGCCCTGCTTATTGACTACCTAATCTTTCTTGCCAGCAGAACGATCATCGTCATGCTTTTTCCTAGTGAAAACCCCACAGTTATTACCAAATGTCTGTAGCAGTAGTTGTCAAGCTTTTATTTTTTTAAATCCTAACAAACCTAATCCGTATGAAACATTGTCATCCTGACTAACGGCTCACTCTAGCTGTGATTCTCAACTTTGCATGTTGGGTGGAGAGTGTAGTTTGTAAAAGTTCCTTCCACCAGGGAAAATAAGCCCCTTCTCTTGTCCCTCTGCAACTGAGAATAGCTTACAGTATTTCTTACAGCCTAGCGTACAAGTCCTTAACTATAATTCAAGGCTTCCTGTTCATCAGGCCCCGTCCACTCTCCAACCTCACTTAACGTGAAGTCTTTGTTCTAGCAAAGTCTGTTTTATCCTGCAAGCATTACCAGGCACAATCCTGTCTATATTTTTCCTATGTACCCTACCTAGGTCACCTCCAGAACTTTAAATTTCTTGAATCAGACCTTGTCTATGAAATCTTAGTTATCCCAGTGATTATCCCTACCCCAAAATTATAGAGGATCACTTTACTGCCTTACTAGTTTTTGTACGTACATGCCCTCATTTTGTAGTCATAGTTTACAGTCTTTAATGGCAGAACTAAATGGTAGTTTTTAATGGTAGCGAAGGAGAACTTTGTGTATGCTTTGTATCTTATGTTGTCCTTTGGAGATTTCCATAGTGGTAGATAATTTGTTACAGAAGGGAAGGGATATTTGTACTCAACAAGAGCTCCACCTGCAGAGCAATCTCCTCTCAGAGATCTTTGGTAAATTTAAACATACATACATACTATGGGGCCAGGCGTTGGTTCTCCTACTGCAGATTAAATTGATACCCTCTGATACTGATGTCATAAATTAGTAATGAATCCCCCATTTAGTTTTATCTTTGTTTGTTTTTAATCTTCACCTGAGGATATTTTTTTCCATTGCTCTTTAGAGAGAGTGGAAAGGAGAGAGAGGGGGAGAGAGAGAGAGAAACATCCATGTGAGAGTGGCACATCGATTGGTTGCCTCCCGCATGGGCCCGACCAGGGCCAGGGATCAAGCCTGCAACCCAGGTACATGTCCTTGGCAGGAATTGAACCTGGTACCCTTCAGTCCGAGGGCCGATGCTCTCTAACCACCGAGCCAAACCAGCTAGGGCGTTTTAGTTTTATCTTAAAAGTACTGAATCAGGCCCTGGCCAGGTAGTTCAGTTGGTTAGTGTCCCAATACACCAAGGATACTGGTTCGATCCCTAGTCAGGGCACATACAAAAATCAACCAATTAATGCATAAATAATGGAACAACAAATCGATGTTTCTCTCTCTCTCCAAAATCAATAAATAATAATAAAAAAATTTAAGTACTGAATAAGTACCAGAATGAGGCTAATTTCCTGTTTATTCGACTCTGAAACAGTATTTTCACTTACTAGTCCTAAGCCTATACACAGGAGTAATAATGTTTATATTGTGTGGTGTTTTTTCACATTATATAAGATGAATATTACATCAAATAATTTGGACTATGAGATAGTGGCATAAGCCTTTCTCAGAAATGAAAAGTTACACATGAAGAGTTGGTAGGAACCCTAGAAACAGTCTTTTCCTCCATTCTTGATGCTCTTTTAGCTTGTCTTCCAGACAGTAAAGTTATAAATATTCAATTTATTCCAAATACAGCAGAAAGGGCCCCTACTATTTTTTCTCCTTAGCGCTTATCAGACCTAACATTGTATTATGCATTTTGTTACTGTTTTCTCCCTCATTAAAATGAAAGTTCCACCAAAGACAGGTACTTTTTTATTCACCTCTTTATTTCTCAGGGCCAAGAACAATGCTTAACCCTCAGGAGGCATTTAGCAAATAATTGTCAAGTAAGTGATGGAATGTACTGAACATCTATGCTAGGGATGGTTCCTGGTGTCAAGCTCATTCTGGTGGATAAAGACAGAACAGTTAATAACCTGTGTGGAAAAACAGGTATTGCTGTGATAGAATAGAAACGAGGTGATGATTCCTGAGAACGTCATGGACAAAATATTTTTAAATTGTTTTAAGGATAAACAGAAGCCTGCCCCTAGTGAAATTAAGAACATTCCAGGTGAGACTGTGTGCAAGGGTGTAGATGCTATGTTAAATCAGTTTTCTCTCTCTTTTTTAAGACATTTAAAGTTGTGGCAACTGAAACTATAAGTCACAAGGCATTAGATGCAGATATATATAGTGCAATTCCAACAGAAAAAGTGGATGGAACATGTTGTTATGTTACTACCTACAAAGGTAAAGTAAAACTTCTACAAATATTACTTACTACTTAATACCCATTAAGGGCCATGCAGTATGATAATTGCTTTATACGTTATCTCTAATTTGTACAATAAGCTCTCCATTTCACAGATACGGAAACTGAGGCTCGGAGAACTTAAATAATTTGTCCAAGACCATATAATTAATGAATGGCTGAACTGGTAATAAAACCTAGTTTTGTCTGACCCTAAAGGTGGTCCCAGTGCTGATTCATTGTTTTCATTATTATCGACAGTGTCTCTGATTTATTTTATTTTAATGTACTTGAAATAAGTACAAAGTCACATAGAAATTGTCCCAGTATGGTAAGGAAAAAAATGCATTGAAAAGAGAAATAATATTTTTAATTTCTTTTGCATGGTGAAATTACCTCTCAATGCAAGCATGATAAAGAGAACAGTTAAATACAAATTGGACGTATTTCTGGTATCAGGAAATCTCTTCTGAAATGCATTTTTTAAAATTTTTAATTGTGATAAAATACACATAACATAAAATTCACCACCTTAACCATTTTTAAGTGTGTAGTTCAGTGGTGTGTACAGTTCACCTTGTTGTGCTGTTACCACCATCTGTCACCAGAACTCTTCACCTTCCAAACCTGGAACTCTGTACCCATTAAACATCTCACCATTTCCTCTTCCCTCTAGTCCTTGGCAACCACCATTCTGCTTTGTATGATTTTCACTACTCTAGGTACCTCCAGTACCAATATTGGAACCATACAGTATTTGTCTTTTTGTGACTGGCTTATTTCACTTAGCATAATGTCCTCAAAGTTCATCTCTGTTTTACAGTATATGTCTGAATTTCCTTCTTTCTTAAGACTGAGTGATATCCTGTTCTATGTATATGCCACATTTTGTTTATCCACTCATCCACAATGTACACTTGGGCGACTTCCACCCTTTGGCTTTTGTGAACAATGCTTCTATGAACGTGGTATAAATACTTCTTCCAGACGCTGCTTCCAGTTTCCAGTTCTTTTGGGTATATATCCAGAAGTGGAATTGTTGAATCATATGATAACTCTATTTTTAATTTTTTGAGGAACTTCCATATGGTTTTCCATAGAAGTTGCACCAGTTACATTCCTACCAACAGTGCACAAGTTTCTAATTTCTCCACATCCTCACCAATATTTGTTATTTTCTCTTTTATTTAATAGTAACTATCCTAATGGATGTGAGTGAAATGAATTTTTGTGTTAACTAGTAAAAAGAACACAGTGTCCATTCAACCAGAAATGAAAATGTAATTTTAATCAGGATCTTCTGTATTTATATTAAGAAACTGCAATGTGCATCATTACGTGTGACTAGGTATAATGGTAGCATTTGAATAAGGTTGGATTGCCAAAGAAAACTTAGCAGTGACACTGCTTACAAACCCACAGTTTATTACAGATGAAGGATAATAATATAGCAAGGGTATTAAAAGTAAGGATGCATGTCACAGCCTAAAACTGTCTCCCAGAGTCAGGAGAGGCCAGGTGAAAGCTCCAATAGCCCCCGCTCCCGTGACTCCAGGCTCTAGCAGGACACACTCTTTCACATCAGGAACCCCTGATGTATGCAGGGAACACCTTTGAAACAGGGAATCCAAAACAGAGTCTCAGCTGGGGATTTCTGTATTTTGCTGGTCACAAAGGTTTCTTCCTGCTAAGTAACCAGCCTCAACAGCAGAGGCCTCCAGGAGTCTCACTGAGACCAGGTGTAATTCAGTCTCACTGCCATTATATTTCCATTTAGTATAGAGGTAGCTTCAGTTTCTCAGAATGCTGGTTACAATAAAATACGGCTTTCTGAAAGGGTCACATGTTTCCCTTTTATCTCATCCTTATCATTCTTTAACCAAAACTTGTCTTCTTTTACAGTATCAGGTACCACTATGTAGGATGTGTCTGTTAGACTACTTATTTCACTTTGTCTTCTAGGGTTGCTTCTCTTGGAGAAGATGACCCTACTATTTTATTGAAAAATTTTATTCTGAAATGTCTTTTAAGGTAAGTTTTATTGTTTGCCTCCTAATATTTTCCTTTTATTATTTATTTAGGTCAGCCATATCTGTGGGCTCGACTAGATAGAAAACCTAACAAACTAGCTGAGAAAAGATTTAAAAATTTTCTGCATTCAAAACAAAGCTCAAAAGGTTAGTCAGTCTTCTTTTCTTCAGCTTTAAGTGATTTAAATAGCTGAAATTTTGCACTGGCCAGTGTTGCTCAGTGGTTAGAGTGTCGGCCCATGAACCAAAGGGTTGCGGATTCAATTCCTGGTCAAGACCATGTACCTGGGTTGCAGGTGGTTCTGTTTGTTTGTTTGTTTTTGTTAATCCTGAGGATATTTTTCCATTGATCTTTAGAGAGTGGGCGGTGGGGGGAGAGAAACATCAATGTGAGAGACACATTGATTGGCTGCCTCCTTGCATGCACCCCAACAAGGCCAAGGAATGAACCTGCAACCCAGGTACATGCCCTTGACCAGAACTAAACTCAAGACCCTTCAGTGCCCAGGCTGACTCTCTAACCACTTAGCCATACCGCCAGGGCATGGGTTGCAGGTTTGATCCCAGGCCCCCGTCCATTGGGCAGATGTGGGAGGCAAACCAATTGATGTTTCTCTCTCACATCAGTGTTTCTCTCTCTCTCTCTCTTCCCCTCCCTCTTTGCCTTCCACTCTCTAAAAAAAATAAAAATGGGAAAAAATCCTCAGGTGAGGATTAACAACAAAAAATAGCTGAAATTTGTGATTTATTTCTTTACATTATATTCTTTTGTATAATTTAAGCACTTTGGGAAAAGAAGAAAATTAGAATTGAGTATCTTCATATGTAAAAGAATTTTCTTCAAAAATATTCTAAAATGTTTTCCTAACATTTCTGTGATTCTTCATTATAGTAAGTCAATTTTATTAAAACATACAAATTACTACATATAATGAGCAACACATTTTGATTTTGTCTGCCTAAGAGAACCATGTAATTTTATAAATCAGACACAACTCTGATTATTTTTAGTTATTAAATTAAAATGCTTCCAAATATTATATAAAAAGATGTACACTCATCATTGCATAGGTACTTTCATATAATATGTATATATTCGTATTTTTAGTGCATTAAAAATTCATCATAAATCTACACATACTGAACATTGGCTACTTTAGACTGTTATCCTGTATTTGCAAATGGTGGTGTGTTCAAAATTGAGAAGTTAAAGTGTTAGTACCCTAACCCTGAGAAGTATAGTCATATTGTGGTGATAACGAATGGAGAATAATTATATGATAACTGATTATGGGGTTTATTATCTAAAGTATTGCTACATATAAGATTATCTAACTCTTTTAGAATTTTTTTGGAATGTTGAGGAGGACTTCAAACCTGTTCCAGAGAGCTGGATACCAGCAAAGGAAATTGAACAATTAAATGGAAATCCGATGCCTGATGAAAATGGACACATTCCCGGTATCATGAAATCTCTTCTAAAATGCAGCTTTATGTTTACTAGTATAAAAAAACAAAAGATCCATTTGATCAGAGATTACATAATTTAATTTTAATCTGATTTTTCACTGTGGTTATATAGCACAAAATTTCTGATTTTAATTTATGTTAAATAACAGTTTATACCAAAGATGTTTCATATCAAGAATGTCCTCTTGGGTTTAGAATGATTTCTAAGATGGACAGTTTACTACCTATAGTCTGTGAAAATTAATAAAGTGTTGAGTGGAAATAGCCTTGAAGTTTTGTCAGGATAGATGATATAACTGATCTTTTCTGAAATGAAATATTAAAAAGCCTTTACTTTTTGGATTGGGGATAGCAGTATGTGTATGCTTTTTTGCAAAGTCCCTAGAAGAATATTTGAATTAAGGGAGGTGAAAATAAGTATCTCACAGGTAGTTTTACTGGAGAAGGGAAAATTTTTGCAAATTTGTGCCAAGTACAAAGATACCCCAGGTTAAAGTTCAGGTTAACAGGCATATCTTAAGTTACCTATATGTGCAAAGTACCCTTAGGTTCTAGTAATACAAAATGAAGATCAGAACCCTGATCCTCAAAAGATCTTGTAGACATGAGGGGAAATCCACCAATAATAGTATGATTTAAGAATGAAAAGGAAAAAGTACACAGGGTACAGTTAGGGCAAGTTCAACTTGTGGTGGTTAGAGGAGGCTTCTAAGGGGAGTGACAGCTGTACTGAAGCTTAAGAACCAGGAAATTAGCTGAAAGGACGAGGGACGGTCAGCTTAAAGGTCAGCTTTGGCAAACTCCCATGAAGAGATCATGGAGTCTTTGGGAAGTTTTACTTAACACCTTGTTCTGGCTGGAATGTGGAAAGGGCTCAGATCTTAAAAGATTTATATTCCATCTAAAGGAATTTAAAGTTTATCCTGAAGTTTGTTAAGCAGGGATACAGCAGAACCAAGTTTACATTTTTTAATGGAACTATGATAAAAATCGGGGTGGGGGTTCACTGGGGACTAGTGTATCAACAAAGAGTTTATTAGAATAATCTGGGTAATGAAGGCCAAAGATATGATGGCCACAATTAGGAAGTCTGTTCTAGCAACTGAAATGAGGATGGGAATAATAGTAATATTCAATAAATATGGGAATAGTACATAAATTGTGGAACAGTTACTGCATATATCTGTTGTCCCTGAAACTGGAGAGTAGAGAAAAAACATAATTTAAAAAAAAAAAAAAAAAGATTCTAATTCTGTGTCTTAGAATGATGCTCAATTCTTATTGAAAAGGTAAATTTTCTAGTAAAAATGCTGGGTGCTCTGTAGTATAATCAGGTTAAATCTCAATAAAATCAAAAATGAAACTTTATAATTTAAAAAATGATTGTGATTTAAAAAGTCATAAAACTGTTATTTCTAGTGACTTTAAAAGTGATATGTGTGTGATAGGATATCCAGAAAATTTACAACAAAAATAAAAATTACTTCGTTTCAATGCAGAGAAAAACAATGCCAAAAAACCCCACTTTTTTCTTTAAATGATAGGTTGGATACCAGTGGAGAAAAACAACAAACAGTATTGCTGGCATTCCTCTGTAGTTAATTATGAATTTGAAATCGCCCTGGTACTGAAGCATCATCCAGATGATCCCAGTCTTTTGGAAATTAGTGCAGTGCCACTATCAGACCTCTTAGAACAGACTCTGGAGCTTATAGGAACAAATATTAATGGAAACCCATATGGTGAGTAAAGCTGTTTTCTATTCAGTTATAGCAATTCATTTATAAAGAGAACTTCCGAGGTTCAGCTTCACACACACAGAAAAAAACCTAATAAATTTGAGTTAAGAAACCTATGATTATGGCCCTGTTAATTTTATGTTCATGGAGAAACCTAATCATTTTATTAGTCCAAAATGTTGATTTTTAGCCTCTTGTTCTTACTTATACATTATAAAACTATGTATGAAAACTACTCAAGTGTAACTTTTCATTGCTTTTTAAAATTTAGGTGAACCGAGCTGAATGAAAGTCATGATGTGCTTCTCATGGCTAGGTAATTAGTGTAGCATTAATTAGTGTAGCTGAGTGTAAAGTGAATAAAGAATTGGCAGGGAATAGCATATCAAGCTATGATGAATTGAGTGCAAGTCCCAAGGGCACTATGGAGTACAGTGTTGACGGGGAAGAATGAAGACAGACCCAGGCACATTACAGCTTGAATGGCAAAATCCTGTATAAAGACCAGAAGCAGACTGATTGGCAGGTGGGAAGAAGCTAAGGTAGTAATTATCCAATTGTCAGAAATATAGCATGACTGTTTGGCAGACATTGTATAACAGTTGAATGTGGCTAATGGGTATAGAGCAGGGGGTGGTAGACGTTTTTGTAAAAGGACAGATAGGAAACATTTAGGTTTTGTGGGCCATACCTCTGAAACAGGCCATAGAAAGTATTTAAATGAGTAGGTGTGGCTGTGTTCCATTGAAACTATTTATAAAAACAGGCATCTGGCTGGATTGTGCCCGTAGGTCATAGTTTGTGGACCCCTCGTATAGAGGACAGGACACAAAGGTAGAATTTAGATTTAACAGGTTATGGTGCCACTTTTGAGTGAAAGTACTTATAGCATCTCTCTAAGTAAAGAAACTAGCTAAACATTTTGGGAAATCTATTCTTAAACATTTTAAAAGGCTTTTTTATTTGGAGAAGTAAATTTTCTCATTCTTGAAACCTTTGTATGGCTAATGCAAGATTTTTTCATTTAGGGTTAGGAAGCAAGAAGCATCCATTACATCTTCTTACACCACATGGAGCATTTCAAATAAGAAATCTACCTACCTTGAAGCACAGTGATCTGTTGTCCTGGTTTGAAGGTTGCAGAGAGGGTAAAATTGAAGGAATAGTGTGGCATTGCACTGATGGCTGTTTAATCAAGGTAATGGCAGAAAACAGCTTGTGGGATTATGTCCTCTTACGTTCCTTGGAGTAGAAGTGGTACTAAAATGCTCTGTACAAACTGTAGTAATTCTGATGGTGCACTCAAGAAATTTAATTTGTTCATCTTACATGCCAACATTCTTTATATGATGAAGTAGTATTAACATTCCACTGTATTTATTCTGTGGGGCAACGGTTATTAAAGTGATGAAAATGTCTGGAAAACCCTGCATACTACATATTCCCATCTTGGAAGTTCATGTTGCCTATTAGTGCTCTCAGACATTCTGTAATTATAGCATTTAATCCTGTTTAATTTAGCATTTACATCGTGCTTAATTCGGCATTTCCCACACTTGGTTATAGAGTTTGTTAAGAGAGTGCCAAGGGTCAGTTAATATATATAGAATGAATTATCTTACACTTTGCACCCTTTCTGTCTGTCTCCTGGACTTATCTATTTGATTCGTCACAGGTTCTTAAAATTCATCATGTTCAAAACTGGACCTAGTTATATCAACCCCCTGACTCCAACAATTCACTGAAGCCAAAAACTTAGATACATTTTTAACTCTGTTCGCCCTTACTTCATACATCCAATGATCACTTCTTCCAGATTCTGACCTACTGAATCTGTATATTTCTCCCCAGCCAATTAGTTGTTAATTTAAATTTAAGACAAGATTCATACTTGTTATATTATCCTCTTAAACGTTAACTTTCAGTGTTATCCCTGTCCTGTCCATTCTTTTAGTAAATGAATGAAAATGTTACTTCCTGCATAAAACTGTTTAATGACACTAAGATTTTTCATCATCTGCCCCCTTATAACTTTCTGGAATTGCCTCCACCCCCATCTCCCAAACATATCCACATTGTGTATGTTCTGACCATAAATAATTACAGAGAAGAAAAACACCATTCTGTCACACGGATTTCCCTTTGGTTAGAATGTCTCCCCACCCACAATTGATTAGCTTCTCAACAGACTCTTATAAATTTTTTGGTGCCCCTGATTATGTTCCTGGCATGTTTCCAGGTGCTAGAAATACAAAGTCCACTGAACAATGTCTGCCTTCATGAAGCTCACATTTTAATGGGGAAGACAGATAGTAAGTCTGTAATACGTCAGGGGGAGAAGCAGCTATGAAAAAATAAAGAGTAAGATGAAGTGAAGCCTTAAACAGCACCTGGAAGATGGTAGGCACTCAAAAATATTTTTAAGTGAAAGAAGGTAATACAGGTTAAAGCTAATACCCTTTTTTTCTCTTTCCAGGTGCATCGCCATCATCTTGGTTTATGCTGGCCAATTCCAGATACTTACATGAATTCAAAACCAGTTATTATTAACATGAACCTGAACAAATATGACTATACTTTTGATACTAAGTGTTTATTTAATCATTTTTCAAAAATAGATCATCAGAAATTTAGTAGGCTCAAGGATATAAAACTTGATGTATAAACTGGAAATGTAATTAAAAACCAGTTTTATTATATTTGAATCTTGAATATTCTACCATGTTTAAAAGGTGAAAATATCTCAAGGTTCCTATTTATTGTTCACTGTCTAATGGAGCAATATGTCTTCTAGCATTTGAAGACATGAATTTCCCAGTTGGAAATACCTATTCAAAGTCTTATTTAGAATCAGCAAGTGAATTTTTCAACCTCTGGACTTAAAAATGTAAGTAATAGTAAGCTCCCCAGCTTGTACAAAGGTTTGGATTTTGTTAACTTTATGGAGTAATTTAAAGACAACAATGAAACCAACACTTTTGGATCATTTACTTTCAAAATTAAATAGTTTAAGCTGAATTTAACTTAATCTTGCTTGACATTTAACAAGACATATGGCTCAGCCTTATTATATATAGATACACATATAAATTTTATATACATAAAATTTAAGTATATATAAAGCCCTAATTTTAAATGTTAAAATTTTGAATGTACAGAAGTCCACAATAGCTCACTGACTATTTGATAGTCATAACTTTAAAAATCTTCAAATATATACTTTTCTAATATGTTAAAAATTTCATACAATTTTATTTACTAAAAATTCAAATTTAAGTAAAGGTACAGGGTATTGGAAAGGATATCATGTAGGTCACAGACTTGCTTGTTTTCCAGATGGAATTTTAACTTATAAAATTAATATGTAGTTAAATAGAAGCTGCGTTATAGCTGGCCCTTAATAAATGGGGAAATTAACAGGACTTTCTTCTTCATCGTCAGACTGTTCAGAAGCAGCAGCAGGACTAGTTAACTCAACTCCAAGTTGTTCAGAAAGTTTTTTTAACTTCTCTTCTAAAAGAATATTTTTTTTCAATTCTTCTTTGTAATTATACTTCAGATCTTCAATTTCTTCAAAAAATGAAGGATCAAAATTTTCCAGTTCTTTCTTCAGCTTTATTATTTCCTCCTAATAGAAACAGACTGTCTTTAAAAGGCACCTATAGGTATATAATATGCTCTTTAGGTTTAAACTAAAGAAATTTAATTATAAACATGAGCACCAAAATAACCTGAAGAGATACTTTAATAAAGGCAGAAGTATTAAGATTTTGTTAAGGTTTCATTGTGCAGTATAAGTAACTAACTTGTTAATCAAATCAAATCAGATTATTTGTTCTGTAAGTTATGTCCTGGTCTTTGATGAAAATTCATTAGCTCTTAAGAGGGGGATTTAATCTTTCTCCAAAAGCATACTTTCAGATACTCAGGCAAGCAAAAAGATATGGCTATTCGCAGCATTAAGGTAGTTTTGGTTAAGATTCTTTGGCTTAGGCTCCATTTATATTTTCTTTACAAATATATAATTTGTAATAAACAGTGGTCAGCCTCTTATAAATATATTTATGATCAGGGAAATTATAACGTTTCTGCCTGGCTAAGAGTTACACATCTGGTGAACTGTCTTAAGAGGCAATTTAAGCCAGTGATCACTAGGTAATTCTCATATCATGTTCTTTTGTACTACTTCAAGACTCTTGCAAAGACATAAAGCATAGCAAATATTTTTTTAAGGCAAGGGAACTATTCCTGAAAAGATTTTCAAAAGGAAATAAATGACATTGTTCACAATGCGACCAAAAACTTAAGAAAATATTAAAATGAGCTTTATATTTGTGACAATTAAAAATAAATTTAATCTTTAATCCTATGTTTTGCCTCAATTTTTTTGGTAGCTCTTGCATAATATTTTTTAACACAGATGAATATAATAAACTTTGCAATATCAAGGTCAAATATAAATAAAATTTAATCCCAGGAATGTTTATGATACATACTTAAAGTTCAAACATGGTGATCATAAGAACAGTTTCAACAGCTGTTTTCACAAAACGTTTATAATACTATAATTAGATATATTAAATATTTAATTACCTTCAAATGCTGCTTTTCTAGACCCGAGGTTTTAAGCTGTATCTCTAGATCTTTTACCTTTTCCTTTAGTTGATCAGGATCTGCCAAAAAAATAAAAATTAGACTCAGCTTTTTCCCACTCTGAGTTCAAGTTAAAGGACTTATTTTAGAGAATAAGGAGAAAACTTATGAAATGAGAGCCTGGAAAATACAGCATTTTATGGCTGAAACTCTAGGCAGTGAATACTGTCGGCTACCTCCATCAGGTACTATAATTCCATAGCAGACAGAGAAAAGGTATCTGCCAGATATTAGAAGTGTAAAGTGAGGTTAATTTTTCACATGAAAGAAACTTTCCAGAGAAAAATTCTAAATCAGGAAAATTGTTAAGTACTAAAAGGACAAGAGGAGAATAGGCAGGCTGTTACATAAGGGGCCAAATGCCCCTTACCCAGCAGCATTGGCTATTCCACGCAGGTCACTGCGCACTGATTTTGTAATTGCCACGTGAAAAACGTGCTAGGCAGGATGGACAACACAAGCAGGAATAAGTCCTGATACTCAGGTGGAAAAGGTAAGGACACAAACAGCACCAGGGCTTTGAATTTATGGGTTTCTCCTCAGAGATAACATACCTAATTTTATAATGAGAATCAATGGGCAAGTGGTATTTTTGCTTAATTGCTGTCTGCTAGAAACGTTATTTTCTTTAAACACCTATAATGTGTCATGGTCATCTTGCAGCCACTGAAGGGTAAAACTATGAAAGGAATGCTAAAGTTTAGGAAAATAATGGGCAGCAAACACATTTCCATGAATGAGTAAGAAGTATATTCTATGAAGGTCCCCTGAAATGGTCCTCTGAGTATAAGGTGGAGACAGGAAACACTTTCTCCCCACCCTTTTCATGGGAATAGTCAGCAGAACCCATCTTTCCTTTGGAAGGCAGAGCAAAATCATACTTTTCAAAGCTTCCCTCACCTTTGCAGAAAGTGCTAATGATTTACAGAAGTGATTCTTAATCACTTGGGATGCTATATTGAGTTGATTGTTTTAGTCAGTGGGCTGCTATATATTATACAGATTGGTAATATGTAGCATTTCACAAAAGTTAGTTTACCACATATTAAAGTAGTGCTTTAGAATTTCCAGAACAGTTATGGTTTGATTTTGAGCCTTAATGTTTGAAATATGGAGGTTCAGAAATTCCCTCTGAGTAAAGAGGTTTAGAGAGAACTTGCCTAATGTCAGCAGCATTAACAGGTCTTTGGTCTACTGTGACTAGTCCAGGACACCAAGCTAGCTGCTGTGAGAGACACTGTTGGGGGAGATTATATGTACTTTTGGTCACCCAGGTGCAAAGCGGCATAGTGGTCAACAGCAGGGAATGCAGAGAAGCTTTGGAGTTTCCTAGATTTAGGTTACATCCTGCCCCTGCCTCTGCCTCTTCCCATTGTGATCTTGGGGACAGGTAACTTAACCTCTTCAAATCTGTTTATCATAGGCCAAAGGGGAACAACAGTACCCACCATACAGGGTTATGAGAAATTATAAAATGGTCATAAAGCACTTAGCATAGTGTCTGGTACAACTCATACATGATAGATTTATCATTCTCTGGCACAGAATTTGGCATTTCCATCAAGCTATCAGTACAAACACTCGATTCTCATTTATGGTAGTTATGGTCTATAAAGTCAACACAATGTATTAGTGAATACTGAACCACTGCTCTTAGGGGAAAATATATACAGATATATAATCTATACCTATAGCTAAACAGACACAAACACATACAGCTCAGATAATCTTAAGTCCTGGAAACAACCCATTCTGGTAGATTCTATTTTCTGTTTTACAAAAGAGAAAACAAGGTTCATAAGTGTCAAGTGACATTCCTGAGGCTGCCCCCCTACCAAGTGTCAGAGTTGGGATTTAAACCTAGTCTAACTGGCCCCAGAACCATCGCTTCTTGCCCTAAGCTGCACTGCTCCCTCCTGTCTCTGTCCTCTGGTCATCTCTGTATGAGAGCTGAAACAAGAATGCAGAGTGTCACCTCACTGGATCTCATCTGAGAAAATGTTCTGACAAATTTTTCACTGCTCTGTATTTTTGCAACAGCACCGCAAGTACTGATTATGGGGTTACAAATAAATTTTAGTAGGTGAGTTTACAAATCCAGAATCTGCAAATAATGAGGATCAGCTAACTGTGTGTGTGTGTGTGCATGTGCACATACTTTGTGGATATATGTACATATGCATACATAAGCACACAGGAATAGAGGAGTGACCAGTAATCACTTCTGACTGCAAACAGAAGAGGGTAAAGGGATAGAAATTCCTTTACTTTGTAAAAGAAAAAGTATATTTTTACTTATGTATGTAGTTTACATATATGTGGTTTTTAAATTGACAAGGTTACAATAATAGAAGAAAATGTTCAAAGGATTTAAATGGGCATATACTTAAAAACTGGAAGCAGCAATCATTGCTCAGCACTGTATCCTGATTAAATCTAAAACCTACCTGGAACACAAGAAGAAAACACTGAGTACTTGCAAAGGGCTCGATGGGAACAATACTACATGGAGGAAGAGGCAGCTCTAAAAACTTACCAGAAATCTGTGAACAAGCAAACAGTGCAAACCCTAATTCAAAACCTTGGGATACCTAACATGCTGTAAATATGTTATAAAATACATTACCATGTACAGTGCTCTCGGCTCCTTTTTGGTCTTTGTGTACTTCTATCTGATGGATTAATTCCACTTTTTCTTTTTCCAGCTGACTATTAGCTAATCTAGAGCACAAAGATAATGTTATTAAAAAATAACACAAGCCAAAAACATTGTTCCACAAAATATACAGGCATTTCGTATGAACTGTGTAATGTACAGTGCCTAGAACTAGCTGATATTCATAAAGATGTTCATTTACTTTCACTGCTGCAATACTACATTCTCAAGAGAGCATCAAAATTCTTCACGTTTTTCTGAAAATCTGACTGATGTCATTTTCAAGAGTAGTTTTCCTACTGGAAGAGCCTCATGAGAGGACGCTACACAGAACCCTGGTAGTAAAGGCTTTTTTCTTCCATTAATATTTGCCTCTGGAAAGTTAAAGTTTAATAC